TTTCTTGCAGTTAAATGAACTACTCAAGCAAATTAAAACCATTGAAAAGAGTAGTTGATTTCTGTCACCAAAAGATGATTATCAAGTTAACTATTCAGAAGTGCATCATATGCAAAGATGTAACACCTGTAGCCTGACTTTCTGCAGTATTTTCTTTTGCAAAAATATTTTGTTTGCAAAATGTACATAAACAATATTTATAGATATTGTTGGAGTGTAAAATAGATAGTATTCAAAAGTGCATCTGATTAAAGAATAAGAATTTGGGTAGCAAGAGTCTGTTTGCTTTAGGGGAGTAAATCAGACCTTGTAAGATATCTTTTAGAAGAAAGTTGTTTTTCTAAGATTCAAGAATGATGGAATAGGAATCTGCTATCAACCATAAACTCTAGATTGTAATGACAGATTAGTCCAAATGTGAAATTATAAAATTTGCTCCTGTTTCTTAGCTACTTAATTTTATACTCTGTGGACCTCTTAGGTTTTCTTATTCTGAATTTTCTTGCATGCTCAGAATTAAACCGTTGCATGAAAATACGCATTTAAAACTGAAAACTCCATCTGTGAAGTATTCTGATACAGGATAAATGAGAAAAAAAAATGCATTAAATATATCTAAGTTGTAATAGAAATTTTCCTTTCTGCATATATTATTTACTTATAAAACAACATTTAACAAAACAAGTATTTGTCTGCTACTGTGTCTGCCATTACATGGGCACTTTTCCATTCTAACCCGTATGAAAACATGAGCTTGCAAATGCAAATTTTAAAGGTATTTTTAACAGCATACACAGATAATGTAATGTGACATTCATTTATTCCTGAAACATTTCCAGTCAAAAAGAATATGCAGATATTTTCATCCCATCTTGTCCTTAATAAGTTGAATAATTTCTTTTTTACAGCTGGGTGAAGAAACAGTAACACGATACCAAAATAAGTTTTTCTGCACATCTGAAGAGAAATGTTCATTTCTAAATTAAGTGTCTGCATGTATTACTTTCAGACTTTAATACTGCTGTGAAGCACTGCATGCCCTGTTCAGATTTGTGCTTCCATGATTCATTTTCCTTGAGCCTGTTCTAAAGCCTGATGAAGTCAGTGTTAGTCTTACCAATGATTCTGACTTTGGATCAGGTTCTTTTTTTTCTTTTGCTGTCTCCTAAAAATTTAACAAGCATGAACTCTTTCTCACCAGTCTCCCCAAGCTGAACAGGTGCTGAAATGTTCTACTCCTGTAACTGCTGCTGTTGTTTCTGTTAATTAGGCCACAGCAAAATGTATTCCTTTTTTCTTAACAAGAAAGGAGCAGAATGATGCATTTGTTCTCAAGGGATATGTCCATTTTCTATGCATGAATGCACTATCCAAAGCTTTGCCTAGCACGTGTCAAACACATTTGTCTTCTCTAGTAGAATAATCAAATCACAGCAACTTGTATTGTAGAAAAATTATTTTTTTTTTCTAGAACAACTAAGTTCTTTTCTTGAAAGAAAAGATTACTAAAATTGTATATATATATAGAAGACATTCTTATATACAGAAGAAATACAAGCATACCTTATCATTAAATATATATATATTGGTTTGAAAACCAATCAAAGCCTTCAGATTTTTACCAGACAAAAAACTTTCCTTGAAGATACTCCCTACTTGTATAAGTTCAAGTATTAATCAAATACCTATTATTAATCAAAAACTTTAATCAGTTTTTAACTTCAGTTCATGCTCAGAGCTGTTTGAATGTATTCATGAAAGTGTTATAAGGAAACTTATTTAAAGCAGTATTTGCAGAGTCAAGCCATTAGGCTATACAGTGTTTTGGCCTGTGACAATTTGAAAATAGAGTATGACAATTTTAAAATAGAGTAGTTAGTTTCTGAAAGCATTGAAAATACCACTATTCAATCAATCTTTTTTTTTTTTTCTCCATATTCTTTGATAGTGATATTCTTTGATAGTGAATTTCATTATCGTTTTGTTATTTATACCATTTGCATCTTGAAATATAGTCTTTGTTGATAAAAAGACCCACTCACTCACCATTTTGACAAAATTTTCTGTCAGTGGAGAAGCATAAGAGCAGACTATGCTTCCTGCTTGGTGATAGTGTCCACTACTGTTTGAATTGCTTGGTGTTAATGACCATTGCAGTATTCTGTTGGTTCAATTTGGATTGGTCTGATGTTTGGGAGAAAATAGGTAAGAGTCCCCAGAAAAGTTAGATGTAAATAATAATGCTATTGTATCAAATTCCTATTTTATTACAAGTCTGAGCTGTTAACAGAGAGAAGCATGAAGTTGTCTGCTAATTTAATTCTGCTAGTGCTAGAAGAATAGATATACATAACTTGACACATTTGTAGGTAGCACAGAGATTTTACTTTAATGTAGCTTCATGGAATGTATATATAAACACTGCATGATACATTCATATTTTCTACTGAAAATCAGACTGCTGACATCAGTAGTTGTAGGAATTGAAATTTAAGACAGTAAAAACTGCTGTGCAACAGTGCAATAGCACAGCAACAGTGAGAGGGAGGGATGAAATCAAGAAAACACAAATCACTCATTTTGATACCTGCCCCTAAAATGAGTCAAAAGACTCATCACAAGGGAGTTCTGGATCAGGCACTGAAAAAATACTGCTCACTGGAAGCTTTACACCCACCACACATCAAGAAAAGATTTACTTGTCTCTTTAGTTTACTTCATTTTACCACATACTTCCATGCTGGTTGCAGTAGGTGAACCATTAGCATTGTTTTGATATAGGAGAGACCTCCAAGATACGTTAAAGTGTTGATGAACAACTGAGAGACTGGAAGCCTTGCTGCTTATGCTTTCAAAAAAAAATAAAAATGCTCACTTTGCATCATGTCTTTCTAAGTCTTAAAAGGTTGTTATAGACACTGTAACAAGGATGCCTACTGGGGATGATCATTTGAAGATAAGTTGAGCCTTCATCTTTATTAATACAGTTAGTAATACAGAATGATTGCAATTACTCTTTCTGAAATGGTTTTATTTGATTAATGAAATCCAGGATTAGAGGTCCTTAACTTATAAGGCCAGTTTGAAAGGATAGTTGTGCCTTAAATTCATTATTCTTAAAGAAAATTTATCTTTATTGTTGTTGTTGTTGTAAATTTGGTCTAAATGAACCTGCTGAATAAATTGCAGCTGCTATTTTCCTAATATAATGTTTAATTAAAAACCTGAATTCTAATAAACAGTAGAGTGCTTGAAAAAAAATAAAGGACACATTTTCTTAATAGCAAATTTTCTACTTTTTGATAATGCTTTGCCAGGATCTAAAATTCCTTAAAAAAAAAAAAAAAAAAAAAAAAGTTTGTTTCTTCAAAAGGGAAGATGAAAAGTTCACCAGAAACTTCAGTGTGGTGTTTGCTAAAACCAATATTTGAACTACTGGACTACTAAATAAAGGATAACATGGAAGGCCTACTGACTAGCAACCTGTAGCAGACTGGAAAGGTGAGTGTGATCTAGCAGTGCCAGGTATGAGAAACACTGAAAAAGAGTGTTCTGTGTACTGAGCCTAGGTGTTAGTGTTCAGCTTCTCAGCATACTCTGAAATACAGACACTGCTGAATAGGTATGTTGGCTGATACAAATACATGAAGCTAGAGCATTCAGGTGCCTCCCACATTGGGGTTATCTATATAGTTTTATATTTAAGATATCTTCATTTGCAGTCAGATAGTGGTTGGATGTCCAAAAGGGATGGGAGTGAAATAGAATATGAAATTTTCTGATTAGTAGTGTGCTTACAGAAAGAAGTCTTAGGTTTAAAATCTGAGTGTTACAGTTCTTTGTTATCCTTTATGGTGAAAACTGAGGCAAGAGGGCATAGAAGTAACAGAACAAGGAGCATCTCCTCCAAGGCAGGAATTATATAGTTCAAACTGTAATCTCTGCTCATGCTGGCATGCCAGAAATGGGCAGAAAAATAGCAATTCTAATCTCAGAGGGGAACTGGGAGAGCATATAAAAAGATTAAAAAGAGCTCTGATACTGAGTTAAAAACATTAATTTAAAACTGCCTACAATTACAGTTGTGTCATTTGGCAGATATCAGCTGTTGAGATGAATCTACTGTTGAGAGTGGCACTACCTGATCATACTCAGAGTGACCAGTTCATATAATACTATAACTAGAATAAAGCATTTTATGTATTGAAGTGTAAACATCTGTGGTTAGCTTAAAAATCATCCGAGTGGCTCTCTTCTAAAATTCCTCATCTGGTCCTTCCTTTACTGACCATAATGTGTGTGTATATTTGGTCTTAGTTTGATTTTTTTTTTTAGTAAGGTTACATTTTCTTTTTTGGAGAACCTGTGGTTGTGAAAGGGAAAACAGAGTTGAAGTAGAAGGAAGAACTGAAGTTCAAAGACAAAGAAGTGGGTGAGACTGACAAATGATCCTACTGTGAAATGATAGCTGTTTCTTGCTAACCAAGTAATAGTGCTAACCAAGTACATACAGAGACACAGTGTGCTTATATATACATAGACATGTATATATCAGACACTATAAACATGAGCTCATTGGAGATCTACTTTTGAACTGATTTAAATCAACCTGGTCTAGAAACTGCATTACCTTATTAGTGGTGTTACAAACACCAAGAACACGAAACAAACTTATGTACCTGGCTTCCAGAGAAAGACTGCCCCAACAAAGTTCATTATTGCCTACAAAGTTAATGTTAGTGTCACCTATATAGTATGTATCTGTGTGTGACCTGGTCACTTGAGGCTTTCTTTGCAATCAACTGGGAGAAACAAATGTTGAGGGTAGAATATAGTCAGGTATTATGACTAGAGGGATTACATTTTAGAGTGACAATCTTTCATAAAGGGAGACAAGGGGCCACGAAATCTATTTGTATAGATAAGATTCATCGTCTGTGAGTGTCCAGTTAGCCTTGGTGCTTCCATCCGTGTTGCAAAAAGTCAATCTCTGTCTGAGAATACTTGCTGTCTAATTAGATAAGGAAGGAAAAGAGTAGTTTTGATATTTCCAATGTATTCAAAACTTTTGCTAAATAAACAAGACTTGGAACTATTGTGATATTTATTTAAATCATCTTCTTCATAAACTTTTTTCTTCAACCAGCATCTTCTACTGGTATTGTCATGAAGAAATGTAATGTATACACAATGAGTATTGCATCCCATAATTCATAAAGCCAGGCTTATACAAAGTCACAATCCTCACTCCTCAAAGATTTATAGGTGTACCATTGTTGTCAACTTTGAACTGTGGACATTTACCAGACATGTCACTGACAAAACTGAGCAAAAAGATCCGGTACTTAAGATTACTTATGCATATTCAATATTCATTTATTTAGCAGAGAAAAAACAATTCAGTGCAGTGGTTTATTTTAGTTGTAATAAAGAATACAGTTCAAGTAAACTCAGTACACAGAACAGCAAAGTAATTGACAGCTACATAATCAGTTTAAAGTGTACTTGCTAGGACGAGTAAAATTCCTTCAGGAATCCCAATGAGATTGGTATAGCTTCTGCACTTTGTGTTTTGCTACTTTGCATCACGGAACCTGACATCCATATTTTACATGAAGAGGAAAATGTCAGAGATTCATGTTGCTAGTGTCCATCTGTGAAGCATAACACAGATTTATGTATTTAACTAAAGCGAGAAAACACAGTTTTGAAAGTAGTGAACACTAACATGTATAGAAGAGCTTTTTTATTTTTTTTTATTTTTATTTTTTGTAGGTAGCCCCTACAATTCCAATTAGACTGAACATATCCCAGTTCTAATAGGGGTGAGTAATAAATAGGTGGTTGTATTATGGGAATTTCAGCTCTGCGCTTGAGTAGTACAACCTTGTAGATCTAACTGTGCTGATTTAAGACAGTACTGCCCCAGCTCACTTGAATTTTCAGTGCAAAGTCACATTTATTATTTCCATGAATGCTGGTCATTTTCAATGAAAAGTCCACTCCAATGAATATCTTTGGTGATGAGTCAGACAAAGCCAAAGATATACTAACTCAGGCCATTTGAGTTGCCCAAAGAACTGTCCTTCTCAAGAAAGGGACAATAAGAATGAGTATTGGGAAAAAAACTTAAATCACTATAACTGCAGAAGACCTAATTTATACGTTCTGAGTCACACCATGTGTATGTCAGGGCTATTTCCTCTTCACTGATGAAGATGTAACAATAATCTATTGCTTCATTTCCTCTTTTACCTAAGACATCAGAGACAAAATCCAGCAGCTCCTTTGCTTCTGTACCATAAAAAGAGAGGATCCAAATTTTCTAAAAAAAAAAAAAGACAACACAGAGTAAACTATACAACTTGGAATGCTGTCCAACCCTTACATTAGTTTTATGCCTATGAGCATCACCCATATGGAGCCATTATTAGAAAGGATGGAAAATAATATACTCGTGTCTCTGGAGAATCCAGGAATCCAGGTACCTTACTTAGGAAGTGCCAGATATATCCAGATGAGCCAGAAACAACCATTCACTGTCTTTAATTCTGCTTTTAATTCACTCGGGTGGAATATATTAAATACGTGATCTAAAGGGCATGAGGTGTGAAGGTGTGAAGAGAATGAGCAATGAGTACTCACATCTGCAGACATGTCTTTCTTTAAAATAAAAGCAGGGATAGTTTTTCTTATATTCAAACAATGTGATCAGCATTGTAAAAGACTACACCAAATTACATAGTTTCTATGGGCAGAATGAACTGGAAATCTGAGGAGATAATTAATAAGACTATAAACATGAAAAAAAAATCACTGATAATTCAGTTCTGGAAAAAAAAGAAGTATATTCTACCAGTGAATAGATGCAATTATATTAACATTTCCCAGGCTTTTTTAAAATGCTACCACTGCTCACATTATCAGAAAGCCATTTTTATAGTTCTAACTTGGCTGCTTTACAAACCTGGTGTGATACTTTCACCCAATATCTATCCTTTCGGAGTGATTCAGCTTGATTCAACCTCAGCTAAGTATCATTCCTATATCTATATCATCTATATCTATATCTATATCTAATCTATATATATTACCTATACACTGGGATGTGCATTTTCCTTCCACAAATAAATTAGGAATACTCGGTCTCACTTCATGACTAAATTGCAAAGATCCTCAAAGTATCAGAAAGTGGAGTCCCAAATCTTGTTTGGGGCTCTTTTAAAGAATGCATTAAGAACCAGTACATCAACATTGCCAGCTCCTCAGCTGGTACTCGTGTGAGCTCTGATGGTGGTAACACAGCTTTGTCCCCGAAAGCCAGCTGAGGCCTTGTCACATGCTTTCATGAGCGGATGACTATCAATTAGAGTTATGAGTTCTCAGCACATTTAAATAGGCTTTAAAAAATGGCGATTTAGTTTAGCTGCCTAAAGGTAAGGATATTTATTTTGGCTGAGTGATCTACAGTTATAAAAAAAGGAGATTAATTAAAATCGTATTGCCCGTGCAGTGTTATGGCCACTCTGAGAAAAACACACTACACTCAACATCAGAGAGAATGCAAGTACCTGTGTGAATTGCTGTGCTTTATGGTACGCAAACCAAGAAACTTCTGTAGTGTCAGAAAGTTGATTTTGGTGATAACCTGGTCCAGTAAAGTTAATTCTGTGAACAAATATTAAGTAAAAACTATTGTTGGAAATGTTTGAAATGCTTTTTCCCTCCCCTCCTCCTGGAAAGTCTGTGCTTTGGCCGGCAGCTGTGCACACTGTGCAATTCATCTGTCTGAAACGACAGCTGATGTCACCTCCTGGCCAGCTGGCAAGGTGTTGCTATCCATGCAGATGCCAGTACATTCTTCTGAGAGGGAATAAATCAGACAACTGCCACCTGTGACACTGATGTCCATTCAAAAATCCCTCCGTTCATGTTATTTAAACTGTAGTGGAAGGGCACAGTCAAAAAATCTCTCCTTTGTTGCAACCCCTTTGCCTGGAGAACTTTCTACTTAAGGCTGTGAAAGCAGCAGACAGAGGCCACCTGGTATGGAAATTAAGTTCTTCCCTTACATAATCAAATGCAACTCCTTAGTGGAAAAAAAAAAAAAAAAAAAAAGAAAGAAAGAAGAGAGAAATGGTGAATATCCACATTCCTAGGGTATTGCTTAGCAACACTAAGCAATAGGGTTCATGTATATCAAGTAGGCCGTCATATATTTTCTTCTTTTATTAGCATATAGTTGGTAGTGTCTGTTTGAGGAGAGCCCATCTTATCCTAACATATTAATTAAGAGCACAACAGAAAAGAGAACTGTTGGTATAAGTGATGTAGTACAAAAAGCATTATCATTTCATATTGTTTGACCTCTTCAACTTTAACACCCTCCGTAAAGATGCATTAGATGTGAGTGAAGTCCAAGTGCACCTGTCTCCCAGAGCCCTTCATATATTTCTAATATGTAATAGCTAGAAGTTGGCAAATGAAAGACAGTGCCTGAGGCTTCTGAAGCTTGAACTAAGCCTGGTTTTTATTCCACTTATGTGAGAAATACTAATAATTAACAGATACAGGTTGAAAAGATTTGTGCTGGGCAAGAAAACCCATGAGAATGCCTGACAGCTTCAACCAAAGTCTGTAGCTTGAAGTCAGAAGCACCTACCACCTTTAATGCCAATGATAAAGTGTTTTAGATTACATAAATTTTAATATAGATAAAGTATATCAATAGCTACTTTAAGTTTTAGGGGATCATTTTATTCCTACAGAGACATACACAGTTCTTAATGTTGGAAATCTAAAGTAGTTCTACGTTTGTCATAGAAGTTCTATGAGCTCTGGGGAATTTTCTCTGCATTTTTCTTTTAACCAGGATAAATGACTGTAGTAACAATACAAGTGACATGGTGTAAGCACTTGAACAAACGGTATACTATCTTCTGAACCATGTTGTGCACTGTCCTGATTCTATGTTTCTCCTTGTCCTATGGTTCTGCTCTCTGCTGTAGAGGTGAGATATTTCCAGTTATGAGCTAACCGAAAGTGTAAGCCCTCTTTAATTAATTCCAATTACCTCACAGTTTCTCTAGGCTAAGAAAATGTACAGGGATGGTTGCTAAAGATGTAATGATGTGGTGTGAGCTACCTTTATCTTGTGTGTAAGAAAAAGAATAGTCAGGGATTTCTACTTATTGCTGTCAGTCACAGTCTCAGGCTGTAGTACTGGTTAGAAAATAGGCGTGTCCCTTGCCACAGTGGTGTTCCAAGCACTATGTTGTAGTTATACACACTTTCTCTGACCTAATTAATATTTAGGTATTCATCCTGAAGATGTTGACTCCCTGCTAAGGACATTGGACATTCAAATGTAAGATACCTGTAGAACTGGGAAATTAAGCCAGAGTGCGAACACCCAAGCTGAATATCCTGGCTCAAGAGGAAACACTACCTCCTTGTCTGCCTGCTGCATGTGACATTTTTAATGCATGATAGAGAAAACAGATGTCAATGAAAAAAAAAAAACAGATGATCTGCAGGTGATCTAGCATGATTTTTAATTTACAACTCGTTGAAGTTTAAGAATCATAAAGATATCAGATGTTTCTGAGGCACTTGGAGGTCAAAAGTGACTTACATTGGACACTCCAATATGTTTTGATATTCTGGATTCTTCAGGTAGCCTACAATATTAACTTTTGTTTAAAAACATCTTCCCTTATATACTCAAAATTGCTGCTTAGGAACTCTGTTGCTCCTGCATCTTTAACAATGACCCAACTCCAGGGTACTGAGGAAGGAAATACCGCAACTCTTAAATGGATTTTTTAATCTTACCCCTTGCTTTACTTCATTTGCCTAAGTAGTGTGTTCCAGGTGTTCTCAGAAATAGATCTTTTATTTCCTGAGGAATTGTACTGATGAAAATTTAGATTAAATGGTTGGTAAGGTTTCATTCAGGTTTCATTCTTTGGAGCTGGGACCTACAGTGTCAGGCTCCTTTAGTAATTTGTATGTCAAACTTTTTCTGCCCCTAGAACTCTGTGGGTCATACCAAGAGGGACTAAAGGAATATTTTGGATCATATAGTCCTCCTAAGGTTCCTAAGTTTCAAACCATCCACAAGCTCTATCTTATTAAGACTTGATTTTTTTTAGTTTCTTTGATGTTTTCAGGACTTTGCCATTATAACTATAAGAATTTTTATTCTTAAAGTATTCTTGGTATATGTTTAGTCCTGTATTGGAATTGGTTAGAATGTATACAGCTACTCCTTTGATATTTGCTCTCCTTTTCTCACTGCCCTCACTAGGCCTATGTATTTTTTAGAAAACAATGAAAATTCCTCTCAGTCTTTATTATGCTAAATAAGCCATGCTCTTATATTGTCCTCTCATATAACAGTCCTTCCATCATAAAGCTACTAGTTGTAAGTCCTTTCTACTCTCATTTAATGAGGTTTTCTTTATCCCAATATCATTTTTCCTTTACCTCTTACCTAGATTGTTAAGATTCATATGATGAGCCACCGCATTCTGCGTTGGAGTTCTGCCTCTTTCAAAAGCAGGCTAAGTTTAGCAGTAGTTAACAATACTCCCTACAACTGTTACTTTTGCATTTGCTTTAAAAATCTATATCAAACAGAAAGGAACAGCGTACCGATACATTATAGATGAGAAGGTTCTCAGTTCAATAACCTGCACATGAGGATCAGTGAGTAAGATTAGATTTACTAAACACAGATAAAAGACAGGAATAGAAGGCACTCATAAAGTTTTTCTGCTCCCTCACCCAGTCTAAGTAATTATTTCTCATCTTCTGGGAAGAAAGTTCTTTGACATAGGTGGGTTGTTTGTGGTTTTGTTTTAAATAATAAACATTGCCCATTGGTTGTAGGTGTTGTATGAAAGGAAGATTTCTGCCTCTTTCCTATTTTTGATTTTTTTTTTTTTACTACAGTAAGAGGAATGTTGCTCAACAGTTTATTTTCCCTTGAGCCTCCGGGCTACAGAAAGGTGAATGGTGTTTTTCTCTACTGTCTTAAAGATGGCGTCTGGGCTGATCTCAACACCAAACCCATGTATCATGCAGACAACGATCTTGCAAATCCAGCCTTACAAGAAACTAGGACACATCCTCTGGAGTATACAAAACACATTGTTCCTAGCAATGCTGGCATACTCTTCTGCATAGAGTAGGCAGTCTGTAGGCAAGCAACTGTATGAATGGGCAAGGAGCTAGGAAAGAAAAATCTGTGTCCTTTTTGTAGGTCATGTAGCTGCAGCAGTTGAGTTTTGACTACTTTTATTTTGTGAATTTCTTCTTTGTCTGCCTCTGTTGCTACTCAACATTTCCTGAGAAGTAGCTGCAGTATATAACTCATATGATTCTTGACTGTTTCTCTTCTGCCCACATGATCTGGAACTGTAACTGTGAAGCTGAACAGTCTTGCTAAATTTCTTTTTGAGGGTTCTCAGCAAAGCTGTGAGCAGGAGTAAAAGCTCTGGAATAGTCTGTGTACAATATTAGCAATGCATTTTATAGAGTTTATACTCATATCATGTTCAGAATTCTATGAGTAAAAACACATTTTAAACAAATAAACACTAAGTTTAATATCCAAAAAAGATGGAGGATGCTGTCAGTCCTGTTGCTTTCCAAGGCAAAATTCTGAATTACCAATAGGAGAAAATGTCAGAGATTTTTAAGCTCTGCATTTTCTATATGAATACAGATTAATTGGTGCCTAAAAGGTCTTCTTGTAAACACCCACTAATCTGTTAAAAAAAAAAAAAAAAGGAAAAAAAAAGAATGAATGAATGATCCTGCTTACTAATAGGAATTTCCTCAGGGACTTCAATGAAAGCTGGACTAGGCAATGAACTCTTAGAGATTCTTCTGTTAAACAGCAACACACACTTCTTGTTGTGGGGGATTGTATTTTTCTACAAGTAATACAGAGCCAACACATTAGGTTTGACAAAGCTTTTCTTTTCCCAGTGAATATCAAAAGATAATGAGAGATTGTGGGAGGGCTTTTTTTTTTTTTTCTTCCAGATTTTCAAATTACTATTTCTAGCTTCTTACTATGTGAAATGCTGGAAGATTTCACAAGGTCTTTGTATGATCCTTTATAACTAAAATCCTTCCTCAGGTCTTCAAATATCTATTTCTGCATGCCTGTGCATAAAGTACAAATTGCAAAGTATAAA